AGGCTGAGGCTGAGGCTGAGGCTGAGGCTGAGGCAGGCTGAGGCTGAGGCAGGCTGAGGCTGAGGCTGAGGCTGAGGCTGCAGGCTGAGGCTGAGGCAGGCTGAGGCTGAGGCCGAGGCTGAAGGCAGACTGAGGCTGAGGCTGAAGCAGGCTGAGGCTGAGGCTGAGGCAGGCTGAGGCTGAGGCTGAGGCAGGCTGATGCTGAGGCAGGCTGAGGCTGAGGCTGAGGCTGATGCAGGCTGAGGCTGAGGCAGGCTGAGGCTGAGGCCGAGGCTGAAGGCAGACTGAGGCTGAGGCTGAAGCAGGCTGAGGCTGAGGCTGAGGCAGGCTGAGGCTGAGGCAGGCTGAGGCTGAGGCTGAGGCAGGCTGAGGCTGAGGCTGTGACTGCGACTGCCGTTGCCACTGCGACTGTCATCGCGAATGTGACTACGACTGCGAGAACAGCAGAATTCTACAACTGGATTCTCATCCGAATCTTAAGGGGAATCCTTCCAGATATGCTCCTACACATCGCTGTTAGGTTGCTTTGCCGGGATAATTACCTAACAGCTCTTGCTCATAGGTTTCTAGTGGTCTCAAAGGAGAGCATCTGGACTCCTCAGGGGGGTCTGGGCGGGTGCCGGGGAGGAGAGCCGGGAATCGTTTTTCGCCAACAGTCACACACTTCGTGCTCTTGGACCTCCCAGAACTCCATTCCCGGGCCACATTCTGGAGAACCGGGAACAGAGCCGGGCTCGCTTTTCGCCAACAGTCACACACTTCGTGCTCTTCGACCTCCCAGAATTCTTTACGCTTCGCGTATCCCCACCAGCCCATCTCACAGCAGCAACTCTCGCGAAGCATGCCGACAGTCGTGTTTTTCAGGCGTGTGTCCGCTTGGCCCCGCATATCTCCCCTGTTCCTCCTTCCTCCCGCCTCTGTGTACATCCTCCTTGTGAGGGGAGCGGGAGAAGGACGAGGCGGAGGAGGAGGGAGAGAAAGCGCTCCTCGTGATTTGAGTCGTTTTGGGTTTCTCGTCCTTGTGTGAGTCGTTCGGGCCCTTCTTCCTGGTGTGAGTCGTTCGGGCTCCTCGTGGTGTGAGTCGTTCGGGCTCTTCGTCCGGGTGTGAGTCGTTCGGGCTTCTCGTGGTGTGAGTTGTTCGGGCCCCTCATCCTGGTGTGAGTCGTTCGGGCCCCTCCTCCTGGTGTGACTCGTTCGGGCTCCTCGTGGTGTGAGTCGTTCGGGGCCCGCGTCGTGGTGTGAGTCCTTCGGGCTCCTCGTGGTGTGAGTCGTTCGGGCGCCTCGTCCTGGTGTGAGTCGTTCGGGCCCCTCCTTGTGGTGTGAGTCGTTCGGGCTCTTCGTGGTGTGAGTCGTTCGGGCCCCTCGTCCTGTGTGAGTCGTTCGGGCTCCTCGTGGGGCCTCTTGGAGCCTCGTGGGGCCTCTTGGGGGCCTCTTGGGGGCCTGGGGGCCTTGGGGGCCTCTTGGGGGCCTGTTGGGGCCTCGTGGGGCCTCTTGGGGGCCTCTTGGGGGCCTCTTGGGGGCCTCTTGGGGCCTCGTGGGGCCTCTTGGGGGCCTCTTGGGGGCCTCTTGGGGGCCTCTTGGGGCCGCTTGGGGGCTTCTGGGGGGCCTCTTGGAGGCCTCTTGGGAGCCTCCTGGGGGCCTCTTGGGGCCATCTTGGGGCCTCCTGCGACCTCCGCAGAAGCGCAAAGGAGAGCTGCCCCCTGAGAAGGACAAAATGAGCCCAAAACCTTCGTAAAATCAATTATTTTGCTATGAGGGAAGATGAGCGCGGCCCCCTCAGAAGGCCAAAATGGGGCCAAAACCCTCGTAAAATCAATGATTTCTGCTTCAAGGACGAGCTGAGGCGCCAAACTCCGTCCCCCCCCCCCGGGGCCAGAATCCTCGTGAGGGTTGTCGTTTTTTGGCCCTCCCAGGAGTCGAAAAAGACCCCCCCTGAGCACACCCCGGAATCCCTGTCCAGGCCCAGGGGTAGGGGGTAGGGGGAGGGGTAAACCCCTCCCCGAAGGGGAAGAAGGGGGGTTGAGAACAGAGAGAGCTCGCTAAACCACTGACGCCCAAAGGGCTGGTGGGACTCCATTCCCGGGCTACATTTTGGATGCCCGGAGCCAACTGTAGGCCACTTCGTGGTCTTCGAGTTCCCAGAACTCCATTCCCGGGCCACATTTTGGATGCCCGGAGCCAACTGTAGGCCACTTCGTGGTCTTCGAGTTCTCAGAACTCCATTCCCGGGCCACACATTTTGCATGCCCGGAGCCAACTGTAGGCCACTTCGTGCTCTTCGAGTTCCCAGAACTCCATTCCTGGGCAGATTTTGAATGCCCGGAGCCAACTGTAGGCCACTTCGTGTCTTCGAGTTCCCAGAACTCCATTCCAGGGGCCACATTTTGAATGCTGAGGCAGGCTGATGCTGAGGCTGAGGCAGGCTGAGGCTGAGGCAGGCTGAGGCTGAGGCCGAGGCTGAAGGCAGACTGAGGCTGAGGCTGAAGCAGGCTGAGGCTGAGGCTGAGGCAGGCTGAGGCTGAGGTGATGCAGGCTGAGGCTGCAGGCAGGCTGAGGCTGAGGCTGAGGCTGAGCAGGCTGAGGCTGCGGCAGGCTGAGGCTGAGGCTGAGCAGCTGAGGCTGACGTCTGACTGAGGCAGGCTGAGGCTAGCTGAGGCAGGCGGCTGAGGCTGTGACTGCGACTGCCGTTGCCACTGCGACTGTCATTGCGAATGCGACTACGACTGCGAGAACAGCAGAATTCTACAACTGGATTATCATCTGAATCTTAAGGGGAATGCTTCCAGATATGCTCCTACACATCGCTGTTAGGTTGCTTTGCCGGGATAATTTATTGGTTGCGCCGTAGGTTGTGCCCTCGGCGGCCGACAATAACATCGCCTCTATTGTTTGCGCCATAGGTTGCGTTTTCGGCGGCCGAACATACAACCGTCTCCTGTCGGTTGCGCCGTAGGTTTCGCCGTCGGTTGCCGTGGATAGAGCCGTCTGCTATCGGTTGCGCCATAGGTTGCGCCGTCGGCGGCTGTGGATATAACCGTCTCCTGTCGGTTGCGCCATAGGCTTAGCCCTCGGCTATCGGTTGCGCCACGGGTTGCGCCCTTGGCGGCCGAGATCATAACCGTCCTGTAACCGGTGCGACCAGTCAACTCAGTTTTGTTGTTCTTAAAATCAGTACAGTTCCAATCATTTTAATTTTTTCGCGACACTATTTCGGGCTACGCCCGAAAAGAGATGTCTCAACCATGCCGTAACCATGCAACACGGAACACATTCAATGCGTTTCCCATTGCGCACGTTCCGTCATCCACCCAACACAAAGTAGGGCGGAAATCCACAACAGTAGGGTTGAAACACCAATGAATAGGTAGGACGAAAATTGACACCAACGGAGCATAAAAACTGAGGCGGAAATTTCAGGCCCCACGTCCGAAATTGTCCATCGTAGGGCGGATCCAGAGTCAGGGGGGGCCGGGGGCCAGGGCCAGACCCGCGGCCAGGATCGAGGCCGGGGCCGGGGCTGGGGCCAGCCGGGACCACTGCCGGGACCGCGAGTTGGGGCCAACAACGCGGCCGGGGCCGGGACCAGGGCCGGGATTAGAGCGGGTATACTGGAGCCGTGACCGGGAACCCGGGTCCGGGCCGGAGCCCGGCCCAGGCCAGGACCAGGAGCGGGGCCATGGCCCGGGCTGGGACCGGGGCGGGGGCCGGGGCCGGGGCCGGGAGCGGGGCCTGGGCCGCGGCCAGGGCCGGGGGGGGGGCCAGCGAGCGCCGTGGCTGGGTCCGAGACGCCCGGGTCCGGCCGGGAGGGGGCCCGGGTCGGGTGCCGGCGCGGGAGCCGGGGCCAGGAGCCAGGAGCTCGGAGCGGGATCGGGGACGGGACTGGGACCAGGACCGGGCTGGGGGCCGGGATGGGGGCTGGGACCGGGACCGGGAGCCAGCACCAGGGGCCCGGGCCGGAGGCGGGGTCAGGGCCGCAGAGCTGGGGCTGGAACCCGGGCGGAGAGCCAGGCGGCATCGCTGAACGGCCCTCCCCTGCAGTCGGGGCTGAACGCCCCCCCCCCCCATGCAGAGCGGAGCTCAAGCGAAGCTCAAGCGAAACTCGAGCTCGCGCTCTTTAACTGACGCGCCGGATCGGGGGATTTGCGGTCAGCCTTAGCAGTGACGCTGCAAGTGCCGCGCGTGGTGTCCGATGTCGCCTCCGCCGCAGGCGGCTCGTGCCAGTGTCCCGGCCCGAGGTTTGCTGCCAATGAGCGGAGAAAACTACTACGCTCGCCAGCGGGTTGCCAGCCGCCAGGCCACCATCTTCTTCCTGCTCTATTTTGCTTCGCCTTGTAACTCTTCTCGTGACGACGGCCCTCGCAAGTGCCACCGTACCGTTAACACCCATGCTACTGCTCGCCTCACGACGATAGCTACCGCGAATCTGTGTTAATAACTGGCGCAGCTTTCTTTGTGATGCTATGCCATGCTTCTGCACTTGCTGCCGCCACTAGACTACGGCGATTAGTACTACCCCCGTCATCAGCACCACTACCACTTCTTTGTGCCTCCACGACTACGTGTACCATTACTATCTGTGGTGCTATCACGATTGCCTTTGCTTCTGCGACTGCGATTGCTACCAGACGTAGCTCATCACCACCGCTAGATGACGAGACAACAAGGGCCATGAGGCACAGGAGAATCGGTACATACCCACTCGGGCCAGAACAGTCAGGATGGCCAGAGAAGATTTCAATCGCTGCCAGCTGGCGCAGTCTCAATTTTTGATCGCCTCCTAGTCCAGCCTGGGTCTCCGCGGTTGTTCGTGACTCTCCTGGCTCTCCTGGTCTTTTCGTCCCATTGAGCTCTTCTGCTTGGCCCTCCCCGACTCCTGCACCCTGCTGACCCTCGTGCCCGCGGGGAGCAGGTGGTGGATCAGGGGAGGAGGTGGTGGAAGGCGAAGAGAGGGAGAAGCGTGAGCGCCTGGTACGTCAGCGTGCAGCCTTTAAAAAGGTCGGGGATCGGGGGGGGATGGAGTGCGCATCAGTTCCGCAAGTCACCCAGCGGGGTTATCGAGCTTGGCATTCTCGTCCATTGGTTTGGACGTCAAGTCAGGATCCCCATCGTGACTCATCCGTGATTCGCTGGCCCGACGGGCCAGAGGCGTGCTGGAATCTCCAGCAAGAGGCTCAGACTATTTCTGCATTCCCAGTTTGCGCGCGCGTGGCGGCCCTCTGTCGGGCCGGACGAAAGGGGGGGATTGGGAACGGGGGGCTTACGAAATTTGCTGCATGCAGCTGGTTTCGGCCCCACCGAGGGGCCCATTCCTCGATACATGGGCGCCTCCGGCGCCGGGAGGCGCCGGGAGAATCAGCTACGCAAGCTGATTCTCACCTTTTCCCTTTGCTATCCCCCCCCTTCGCCCGACCCGACTTTGGGAGGGCGCAACCAGGACGCGCGCCCCGGCAAGGCCCCGGGCAGGCCGGGCCATAGACTGTGCGTCGGTCCTGGGCTCGGCTCGCAGGGCCCCCTCTGGGCAGCTCTGTGCAGCGGCCCAGGAGCGGAGAGCTGCGGCTGGCCGGCCCCAATGAGCTCGGGGGTGGGCAGAACCCCCAACAGTGACACGTCGATTAGTGAATTGTCCGTTTTCGGTTCTCGAGAGAGCGCCGCGGCCGTTAGTTTCCAGGCTTGCGCCCGCCACGTCGTTTTCTCTAAACCACGTTTTACTAAAGGGAGGTCTGTCCATCCACGATGAGCCCCGAAGACAGCCGCAAGAAGCTCCAGCAGGTGCCCGAAGTTGGCCCAGGGTGGTCGAAGACGGTCCCCAGGCGGGGCAAGGAAGGCACGAACCTCTGTATCGTTTTTTCCCCATATCCTAAGGATTGGGGTTCTTGTTATTACTCTGACGCCTCCCACTGCTCCTCCTTCCTCCTTCCTCCCGCTCGCGCCTCCCTCCTCCCAATGATAACCACCAGATAAGACAAGACAATATACTATACTACACG